AAAACCCCAAAACCCCAAAACCCCATCGTTGAAGATCCAGAGATCATATGGCATAATGGATATTTTAGAACTATAATAATAAAAAAGAATTATGAGGTCTTCCAAAGTAATCCGCTTAACTATCTTGCTAGGAACTGTTTACTAGATTAGCACCATTCTTAGTAAATAACTAAGAGTCAACAAAAATGGTGTCTTTAAGTTTGTTTAATTTACTGATATTCATTTCGGTGAGGGAGCTGAAAATGATTTGGGCTCTCAAAATGTCATGAGAAAAGTCTTGGAAACAGAACAGCCTGATTTTGTAGCTGCAACTGGTGATGTAATCTCCGGTTATGCTTGGGATGGTATCCAGACAAATTGGTTTGCTGAGTAGTACAAGACATTTGTCAAGCCCTTATACGAATACAACACTAGTTGGGCTTATACTTGCGGAAATCATGATGATTAAGGCGATCTTACAAGAGATGAAATTTCAGAGGTCGATAGATCCTACAATCTAAGTCTCACCTAACCTAATGCTGCCAATATCTCGCACACTTTTAACTACATCTTACCAGTCTATGATTATGAGGGGAAAAACATCCTCTTTAGACTTTGGTTTATGGACTCAGGAGAGGACTAAGACTGTATGGGAGTAAGTGGCTATGACTGCGTTAGACCAGACCAAATTGAATGGTTTAGATCTATGAATAAGGCTATCCCTGACGATGATCCTAGTAAAGGCAAAGGATTTTTGCTAGTCCACATACCACTCTTTGAATATATAAATCTTTACAATAATGATTTATTCTATGGAGCCAGAGGTGAAGAAGTAAGTTGCTAGGCCCTTAATACAGGACTCTTTGCAGCTTTGAAAGAGCAAAAAACTGTAGAGTGGGTCTTAGTAGGACACGATCATGATAATGATTTCTATGGAAATTACGATGGAATCAATCTTTCATTTGGAAGAAAAACTGGTCATGGGTCATACGGTCCATTGAATATGCAGCAAGGTGCAAGAGTATTCGAAATCACAACTAATCCATATAAAATATCTACATGGGTAAGGTAAGAAGATGGTACCATTCACAAGGAAGTTAACACCAATTCTAAACCTACAAGTGAAGTTTCTCAAACCAAGTGTGGTGGTTCTCTTGGTAAAGCTGATCATGTGGCCTAAAATTATGAGGAAATGAAATATTTAAGAGATTACTACTTAAAGAGACACGATCTTAAACATTTGGTTGTGGAATGAAATATCAAAAGCTTTTGCATTCTATCATTTTTACAATTCATTTTTTCACTTAAATTTGTTGAATCATGGGGTTTTGGGGTTTTGGGGTTTTGGGG